AAAAAAAAAAAATCAGTCCCAGGGTAACGCAAACATCTAAGCACTCAACTACTAATGTATAGTGGTTCAAACTTATACAGAGGTGCCTGGCAATCTGCTTCTGAAAGGTCGTAGCCTTAAAAACCCCTATGGAGCAGCTCACTCCACACACTTGGGTCATCAAAATTGACTCCATGGCAACAAACAGCAATCGTAACCACAAGAGTAGCTATGAGCTTAGATAAATACAGTTCTTTTGAGCTCCTTGTTCTTGCCTTACTGAGAGATACGTTTGCCTCTTATTATTATGATTACATCAACCACTCATCTGTCAGGTGGTTTGTGTGTTGCTATGATTCTGGTTGTTATGCCACAGGTGTTTAAATACCAGCAGGGTCACCCGTGGTGGACTGGTTTCAGCTGAGCTTCCAAAGACAGACTAGGAAGAAGGAGAGATGAACTACTGCCTAATATTAGTCACTGATAACCTTAAGAGTAGCAGTGGAACACTGTTCTGTTAACACCAGAATTTTGAAAATTGGAACATGAGTGCCAGAAGATGAGTCCCTCAGGTTGAAAGACACTCAGAATATGACTGGGCAAGAACTGCCGCCTCAAGTAGAGTTGACTATGGTGATGCTAATGGAGTAAATCCCTCAGGACCTTCATTTGCTGATGGGGCACAACTCAGAAAGAAGAGAAACAGCTGTAAACATCCATTAATGATCAGAACATAGAATGTATGAAGTATGAATCTAGGAAAATTGGAATTTGTTAAAAATGAAATGGAATGCATGTACATAAATATCCTAGGCATTAGTGAACTGAAATGGACTAGTATTGGCCATTTTGAATCTGGCATTCACATGGCTTACTTTGTCAGGACTGACAAATTAAAAAGGAATAGCATCACAGTCATCATCAAAAAGAACATATCAAGATCTGTCATGAAGTACAATGCTGTCTTTGATAAGATAATATACATACGTCTACAAAGGAGCTCTGGTAGCGTAGTGGTTACAAATCGGGCTGTGAACTTAAGGTCAGCGGTTCAAAACTACCAGCTGCTCCGCGGGAGAAAGATGAGGTTTTCTACTCCCATAAAGATTTACACCCTCGGAAACCCTGTACAGGGTCGCTATGGGTCAGAACTGACTCAATGGCACTTAACAACAACAACAACAAGGAAGACTAGATAATATCCATATGCCTACTAGGAAGACCAACAGTGAACTATTACACACCAAACACTAAGGCCAGTGATGATGATATTGAAGAATTCTACCAACTTCTTCAAGGAGCTCTGGTAACATAGTGGTTACGAATTGGGCTGCTAATCTCATGGTTAGCAGTTCAAAACTACCAGCTGTTCCACAGGAGAAAGATAAGGTTTTCTGCTCCTGTAAAGATTTACAGCCTTGGAAACTCTGTATAGGGTCACTATGAGTTGGAACCGACTCCACAGCATGTAACAACAACAACCAACTTCTTCAGTCAGAAATTGATCAATGTATCATGGTATGTTGGTAATTACTGGCAATTGGAATGTAAAGGTTGCAAACAAAGAGGAAGGATCAATAGTTGGAAAATAGGGCCTTGGTGACAGAAATGATGCTAAGGATTGCATGATAGAATTTTGCAAGACCAATGACTTCTGTGTTGCAAATACCTTTTTTAAACAACATGAAAGATGACTATACACATGGACCTCACTAGATGGGGATACATGGAAATCAAATTGACTACATCTGTGGAAAGAGATGGTGGAAAATCTCCATATAATCAGCCAAAACAAACCAGGGGCTGACTGGAATAGACCATCAGTTGAAACAAACCAAGCTGAAGAAAATTAAAACAAGTCCACAAGAGGCAAAATATGAGTTTGAACATATCCCACCTGAATTTAGAGATTATCTGAAGAACAAATGTCATGCATTAAACACTAAAGACCAGAGACCAGAAGAGTTGTTGGATGATAACAAGAACATAATGTAGGAAGAAAGCAAAAGCTAATTAAGGAGACAAGACAGAAGGAAAAGACCAAAGTAGATGTCAGAAGAGATTTTAAAACCTGCTCTCCAGCATAGAGATGCCAAAGCAAATGGAAGAAATGAGGAGGTAAAAGAACTGAATAGAAAGTTTCAAAAGATAGCTTGAAGAAGACAAGGTCAAATATTATAATGAAATATGCAAAGACATGAATTAGAAAACCAAAAGAGAAAAACACTCAGCATTTCTCAGGGGGAGGGAACTGAAGAAAAAAATTCAAGCCTTGACTTACAACACTGAAGGATTCTGTGGTAGGAACCAACTCAGCAACACTCAACTAAAACAACAACATGGGCAAAATATTGAATTGATGCAGAAGGTATCTAAAGAAGATGGAAGGAATACACAGAGTCAGTGTACAAAAAAGAAAGTGGTCAAATGTTCAACCATTTCAGGAGATAGCATATGTTCAAGAGCCATTGATAACTGAAGGAAGAAGTCCAAGGTGCACTGAAGGCATTGGCAAAGAACAAGGCATCGAGAATACAAATTGAAATCTTTCAACAAACTAATGCAGGACTGGAGGCAGTCACTCATCTTTGCCAAGAAATATGGAAGCCAACTACCTGGTCAACTGACTGGAAAAGATCCATATTTGTGCCCATTCCACAGGGAGGTGACCCAACGGAATGTGCAAATCATCAGACCATGTCATTAATATCATATACAAGTAAAATTTTGTTAAAGATAATACAAAAACAGCTGCAACCATCAAGTCCTCTCAGGACAAATCCCCCTCCAAGAATGAAACTCAAATGTGAACACACAAGCAGGCATGTAAGCTCGCTGGTGACTGCATTGGCCTGCATTTGAGTGTAAGTCAGGAAAAGTCTGTAATGAATAAATGGGCTGAGTTCTACCGTGTTCCATAGACTCCTGTCGACCTCAGTGATGAGAGAGAGAAGAGGAAAGGCAGGTTGGTCTGAAGTTTGGGGAGACTTGG